CCAGTACCCTGCACCCCATACCACATGTCTTGTGTTCTGTATCCTGCACCCCATGTCCTGTGGTGACCTGCACCCCATACCACATGTCCTGCGTTATGTATCCTGCACCCTTAACCTGCACCCCATGTCCTGTGATGACCTGCACCGTTCTCCAGTACAATACACTCCATGTCCTGCGTTCTGCACCCTGCACCAAATGTCCTGCGTTCTGCACCCTTATCCTGCACCCCATGTCCTGTGGTGACCTGCACCCTTCTCCAGTACCCTACACCTCATGTCCTGTGTTCTGCACCCTTATCCTACACCCCATGTCCTGTGTTCTGCACCCCACGTCCTGTGGTGACCTGCACCTTTCTCCAGTACCCTACACCCCATGTCCTGCGTTCTGCACCCTGCGCCACATGTCCTGTGTTCTGCATCCTGCACCCCATGTCCTGCACCCTTCTCCAGCACCCTGCACCCCATGTCCTACGGTCTGCACCCTGCGCCACATGTCCTGCATTCTGCACACTGTACCCTTCCCCTGCACTCTATGTCCTGCATTCTGCACTTCACAAATTACTTGCCCAGTCCCGGGCACTGACAACCCATGCTACGCTTAAAAAAAAAAAAAAAAAACTGGCTCTTAACTATTTTAGCTGGCTTCTATATTCAAAGCAAATTTGTCAAGCCCTGGTCCAAACACTGTATGCATCTAAAAATGAATACTTTAGATGTGCTTCTGCTAACCCTGCCAGCGAGAACCAGCATTCCGTGTAATTGAAGCCCAAAAGGATATACTTTCTGGTTGGACATTTTCTAAGGATTGTCTACATCTAAAGGGATGCAGATCCTGCAGCTCACAGCACTGAAACTGCATCAGCTGGTGATAATGAAAGCAAACCCTCCCTTTCAACAATCCTATAAAGAAAAAAAAAAAAAAAAAAGGACACGGTTAAGCATGAACACCACCAAACAGAGAATGCTATGAATCCACAAAAGATTTGGAAAAACATGATAAATCGCTGTTCAGAGGGTGGCATAGCCAAGGACAACAGGTGTTTTTAATTTGTCAAATGGAGATTATACATTGCAGGACTGTGCTGCAACCGCAAGCCGTGCCGTTCGCCTTGCAGTTGCGGTGCGGCCAAACTCTGCATCCAGAGTTAAAAATGCCGTCACATGATCATGGCTTTTCTGTATCGTTACAATACGGGTGGACGGTAAAACTGTGCACATACGTGTGTATGCATGTCCCTTGGAGTAGGCTGCTTTTTTGTAATTCACACGGGTACAGAATATATATTATGCACACCGAGCTTAAAATGCAACATATGTTTGGCGCCCAGCAGCAGGGGGTCCGCACCGTGCATTGCCTTTCCTCCCGCAGCTCTGAAGCGCTTTGTGTGATTCCTAGAGACCAGAATAGCTTGTAATCTGAGCCCCACTCCATGGCTGGAGCTCATTTTCCCAGCACTCCGGGGCATTAATGGATTCCTACTCCTCTCAGTAAAAGTGACAGCTTGCAGAAACCACTATTACTATGAATACGGTCCAGCACTGTCCAGCCTACTGCTGTTATGGGAGATCAGCAGAACAAAAAGTCACCCTTTATATTTATCATTTTATATTATTTTAATGACAAGAGGAACAATCACTTCGCTTTGAGAGAGCATTATTATTCTGATAACATTCACCCATTAATTTGGATGCAAACAAAGAAAATTTATTCGAAATTATTTTACACCTCCTTGAGCCACGTTTTCATAACATGCCAGAAAAGTACTACAGTAGATACCAAAATAAAATGATAATAAACCATTTTTTATATACACACAAAAATCAACCGTTACTTGACGGTCATAGAATTTACCTGGAAAGAATATGAAATCTAGAATATCAGATGCACAGGTAACCCAATGGAAAGAGTGTTAGCCCTGGTTCAGAGAAAACAGGTGGCGCACACACCTAGTGCATTATCCAAGGTTTATTGTAGGAGTGAAAGAATAATAAAAACATACTCACAGATGAAGCATGTATCTAAAAAGCATAGAAAAATGACAATGGCCACAACGGCAGGCAAGGTGTTCTCACTGTCAGTGCGGTCAAATGGCTGACGTGTTTCGGGGACGAATCCCTTTCCTCAGAGCTGATGACCAACCTCTGATGCTGATGTATGATGAATGGAAAGTAAGAGCCTTGCTGTTGATGCCTCAACAGCAAGGCTCTTACTTTCCTTTTTTTTTTTTTTTTTTTTTTTAATTTAAATATTTAATAATTTTTCACATTATTACAAAAATTCCATAAGAAGAGACACAATACATATAAATATCAATACATTTCTACTCTGTCCCTTCTATTTACCTCTTTTCTTTCCCTTCCCTCCCAACCCACCATTTCCCCCCTTCCCCCCCTCCCTCCCCTCTGCAAGATCTCCAATCTCTCTAGGCCCAGTAACTTCGAATAACTTTCTAGTTTAGAGTTTTCTATATTTCTCTTTCGATCCCGATATTTCCCCATTTTTCCCATCGTGAATAGTATATTTTCATCCTGTCTTCCTGAATATGATAAGATTTTTCCATTCTGCTAATCTGGTTTATCCTATTGATCCAATCCTCCTCCGTTGGTACCTCTGTCTTCCGCCAAAACTTGGGGATCAACCCTTTTGCAGCACTTAAGTAGTACCATACACCTGATTCTTTAAATTTATTTACTGTTGTCTCAACACTATGTAGGAGACACATGGCTGGGTCTAATCCTATGTCATTTCCAGTTATTATTTCTATTAATTTGACTATTGTCTTCCAGAAAACCTGAATTTTTGGACATTGCCACCATATGTGAAACACCGTGCCCTCTTCCCCACATCCTCTCCAACACATTATTGAATTCTCCCCCCTCATCCTGTGCTCAGTGCTCGGTGTAATATGTTATCGTGTCAAACATTTATAGTTAATCTCAACGTCTCTCATACTAACACTCTTGTGAACTAGTCTAAATATCTTATTCTGTTGATCTTCATCTATCCCCACCCCCATATCTCTTTCCCAATTTGTTATAAAAATTAACTTTGTGTCCGTGTCTAGTTCTGTAAGTATTCTATACATTTTTGTAACACCGTGTTTCCCATCTCTACGTGTTTCTAATAGCCTTTCAAACATATTCCACTCCTTTTTTAATCTCAAGGGTTTTGGGAGAGTTCCTATAAAACATTTTAATTGATATTTCCACTCATCTATTTTAGTAAACATATCTCCTCCCATCTCTTTTAATTCTTTAAATGTTCTCAATTCCCCCTCTACCAATACGTCTCTCAACTGGATATCTTCCTTTAAGGCTCTTACTTTCCATTCATCATACATCCCCGAAACGAGTCAGCCATTTGACCGCACTGACAGTGAGAACACCTTGCCTGCCGTTGTGGCCATTGTCATTTTTCTATGCTTTTTAGATACATGCTTCGTCTGTGAGTATGTTTTTATTATTCTTTCACTCCTACAATAAACCTTGGATAATGCACTAGGTGTGTGCGCCACCTGTTTTCTCTCTATCCAGTGGCTGATTTCCCCGTCTGAGGAGGGCTGCACCCCTGAAGCATTTCCTTTGGTTGTCGCTGTCCTGGTACCCTTGGCTTCCCTTTGGCTGTGCATATCCTGAGGCGCTGGAGAGTACATACATTAGCCCTGGTTCACATATATGTGTTCGTATGGGCCACGTTTCGCATGGGCACGAGAGCCATTCATTTGAATGGACTCCCGTGCCCCGGGACACGCAGGGAAGAAGTCCCTGCACTTCTGTGGAAACCGCAGCCCGCACGGGAACCTCAGTTCCCAGTGCGGTTGCGATTTCCAATGCGGGCGGCGTGCCATTAGAAATAACGGCACCCGCCCGCGGGTCCACATTCCTCTGTGCGGGTGGTGCGGCTGCACGGATTTTGTGCGGATCCACAGCAGCACCACACACACAGATGTGAACCTAGCCTTACAGAGTCAGGGTGACTGTTAGAAATGTAGCAATAATATGTGGATAAGAATGTAGCCATGCGATCAGAGTTACAAACTATATTTAAATAGCAACAATGAATGGGAAGTAAAATGTAAATAACTAATGAGAAGTAATTATAGTTTGTAGCTCTATGGTTGCATTCTTATCTACATCTTATTGCTACATGTTTAATAGGTAAACAAACACCCTGACTTTAGGCAACACTGTTTTCATTCGGATTAACCATGTTCCTGAAATTATAGTTTGGTCCCGATTTCAGACTCTTGATCCTTTTCAGGTAATCAAGTAATACTTGAGATAGATAATAGATAGATAGATAGATAGATAGATAGATAGATAGATAGATAGAAGAATAAAAAAAAACCCATTGTCAATTAATTTCAGTAGTTACTATGGTTCAAGAACAATTATTATCATCATCCTTAAAGCGGTAGTAAACTTTAGTTAAAATAAATAAAAAATCTGCTCACTCACTGCAATTCATGTCATACTGTGCTAGTGTGAATCGTATACTAGCACAATATGAAAGACCATATTTTTCGCTCCACAAGACGCACCCAGGTTTTAGAGGAGGAAAACAAGAAAAAAAATATTCTGAACCAATGGATGACTGCAGACATAGTACAGGAGATGACCAGAGACTGCGGACACAGTACAGGAGATGACCAAGAGACTGCGGACTGGACACAAGTACAGGAGATGACCAGAGACTGCGGACATAGTACAGGAGATGACCAGAGACTGCGGACCCATACAGTACAGGAGATGACCAGAGACTGCGGACACAGTACAGGAGATGACCAGAGACTGCGGACACAGTACAGGAGATGACCAGAGAACTGCGGACATAGTACAGGAAATGACCAGAAACTGCGGACATAGTACAGGAGATGACCTGAGATCGACTGCAGACAGTACAGGAGATGACCAGAGACTGCAGACATAGTACAGGAGATGACCAGAGACTGCGCGGACACAGATATAGTACAGGAGATGACCAGAACTGCGGACAGTACAGGAGATGACCAGCGGAGACTGCGGACGTAGTACAGGAGATATGACCAGAGACTGCGGACATAGTACAGGAGATGACCAGAGACTGCGGACATAGTACAGGAGATGACCAGAGACTGCAGAGACTGCAGTACAGGCGATGACCAGAGACTGCGGACACAGTACAGGAGATGACCAGAGACTGCAGACATAGTACAGGGATGACCAGAGACTGCAGACATAGTACAGGGGGGACTGCGGATGACCAGAGACCAAGGAGCAGACATACTACAGGAGATGGCCCAGAGACTGCGGACATAGTAGTACAGGAGAAGACCAGAGTACAGGATGACTGCGGAACATTGTACAGGAGATGACCAGAGACATAGTGCAGAGACATACTACAGGAGATGACCAGAGACTGCGGACATAGTACAGGAGATGACCAGACTGCGGACTGCGGACATAGTACAGGAGATGACCAGAGACTGCGCATAGTAGATGACCAGACACAGTACAGGAGGATGACCAGAGACTGCAGACATAGTACAGGAGATGACCAGAGACTGCGGATACAGTACAGGAGAACACCAGAGACTACAGACACAGTACAGGAGAACACCAGAGACTGCGGACATAGTACAGGAGATGACCAGCGAGACTGCGGACATAGTACAGGAGAAGACCAGAGACTGCGGACATAGTACAGGAGATGACCAGAGACTGCAGAAACAGTACAGGAGAACACCAGAGACTGCAGACACAGTACAGAGAACACCAGAGACTGCAGACACAGTACAGGAGATGACCAACAGACTGCAGACATAGTACAGGACATAACCAGAGACTGAGACGTAGTACAGGAGATGACCAGAGACTGTGGACACAGTACAGGAGATGACCAGAGACTGCGGACATAGTACAAGGAGATGACCAGAGACTGCGGACCTAGTACAGGAGGGGACCCTAATTTAACAGGTACCCACTCCCACTTCAGCTGTGATCCCCTCTTTCCCCGATGTCTTCTGGGACATGTGACAGGTCCCAGAAGACTACGGGGCCATTCACAAAGCGCAGCGCTACTCGCACATGCTCAGTGGGCACCCGGCTGTGAAGCCGCAAGCTGTCACAGCCAGGTGCCCACACTAAAGATGATGAGGACATCACTGGACCGAGGAACAGGTAGGAGCATATTCTGCTGCACAGAAAAGCAGAGCAGCTGCCCCAGCATTCTAACACGGCGGCGACGGGGGGGAATACCATGCCGGCCACTCCATATTCGCTCCATAAGACGCACAGACATTACCCTACATTTTTTGGGGGAAAAAAAGTGCGTATTATGGAGCAAAAAATACGGTACCTTGAAATTAAGCCCTCCAGCTGCGCACTGTCATTGCTGACAGTGCGTATATATATATATATATATATATATATATACATACATATATACATACAGTTACAGTGTGTCCAAAATAATAGCAGTGTGTTGAAAAAAGTGAATAAAGTTCAAAATCCTTCTAATAGCTTTTATTTCCATCCACACAAATGCATTGGGAACACGACACATTCTATTCCAAATCAAAACATGAAGAAAAATAGATCAAATTTGTGTTGTTCCTCTAAAAAAACTGAAGAAAAGTGAATATTAGACGGTTCAAAAAAAATCGCACTGTTTTGTATTCTTCTTTACAAACTCAAACATTCACTATATAAACTGAGAAATGTTTGAAGATTTTGCTTTCCTTTGAATGACTTCATGAATATTTTGGTTGTAGTCGCACTGTTTCTGAGAACTGCTGTACATCTGTGTTGCATGGAGTCCCCCAACTTCTGGCCCCTGTGATCAGGTATTCCAGCCCAGGATGATTGGACCACATTCCACAGTTCTTCTCTATTTCTTGGTTTTGCCTCAGAAACTGCATTTTTGATGTCACCCCACAAGTTTTCTATTGGATTAAGATCCGGGGATTGGGCTGGCCACTCCATAACGTCCATCTTGTTGGTCTGGAACCAAGATGTTGCACGTTTACTGGTGTGTTTGGGGTCGTTGTCTTGTTGGAACACCCATTTCAAGGGCATTTCCTCTTCAGCATAAGGCAGCATGACCTCTTCAAGTATTCTGATGTATTCAAACTGATCCATGATCCCTGGTATGCGATAAATAGGCCCAACACCGTAGTATGAGAAACATCCCCATATCATGATGCTTGCACCACCATGCTTCACTGTCTTCACAGTGTACTGTGGCTTGAATTCAGTGTTTGGGGGTCGTCTGACAAACTGTCTCCGCCCACTAGACCCAAAAAGAACAATCTTACTTTCATCAGTCCACAAAATATTGCGCCATTTCTCTTTAGGCCAGTCAATGTGCTCTTTGGCAGATTGTAACCTCTTCAGCACACGTCTTTTTTCCAACAGTGGGACTTTGCGGGGACTTCTTGCAGATAGCTTGGCTTCACATAGGCGTCTTCTAATTGTAACAGTCCTCACAGGGAACTTCACACCTTCTTTCATCTTCCTGGAGCTGATTGTTGGCTGAGTCCGCGCCATTTTGGCTATTCTTCTATCCATTCCAATGGTAGTTTTTTACTTTCTTCCACGTCTTTCAGGTTTTGGTTGCCATTTTAAAGCATTTGCGATCATTTTAGCTGAGCAGCCGATCATTTTCTGCACTTCTTTATATGTTTTCCCCTCTCCAATCAACTTTTTAATCAAGGTACGCTGTTCTTCTGAACAATGTCTGGAACGACCCATTTTCCTCAGAATTTCAGAGAGAAATGCACTGTAACCAGCATGTACAACATTTGCTGCCTTCCTTCCTTAAATAAGGGCAATAATTGCCACCTGTTTTTCAAAGAATGAATGACCTCACTAATAGAACTCCACACTGCTATTATTTTGAACATGCCCCTTTCAATGAGTGATTCAATTACACAGAATCAGCAGCATGCATGTCATGACTGTTGGGTCTGTTGGATTTCTATTACTCTACTACACCTGCTAGTAAATTATTTGCCATGTAGAAATATCATTTCTACCAAAAACAGTGATTGATCCGGTTAGTGATGTCTGACTGCTATTATTTTGAACACAACTGTGTGTGTGTGTGTATATATATATATATATATATATATATATATATATACATATATATATATATATATATATATATATATATACACACACACACACACACACACACACATACAGAGCTATCTTTGATTTTTTTTTACGCATTTTAATATCATTTTAGATGAGCCATTGATTATATTCTGTTTTTATAGCCCTGGGGAAGGGGAACTCACACAAACCCTGAAAAGCATTGGCTGTCTTTTGGTTTTCCTTTGTCACTGACAAAGCCAAGGAAAAACCTTTGGAATTTCAGAATGTTTGCCGCTTCTTCTGGCTCAACTACACAACCACAGGTCGGGGGCAGGGAGTTGATCAGGCTGTGTTGCTTTAAGCCTTGTTCACGTTGGGATGAACTGAAGCATACACCATTGCATTGAGGAGAGGCTTCCGTCTAGCAGTGATGGTTGTCCTTCTGGAACGTTGTCCCATCTCCACACAGGATCTCTGGAGCGCAGTCAGAGTGAACATCAGGTTCTTGGTCACCTCTCTTAATAAGGTCCTTCTCCCCCGATTGCTCGGCTAGGCAATCAGCATTTGGAAGTGTCCTGGTTGTGCCAAACTTCTTCCATTTGAGAATTATGGAGGTCACTGTGATCTTGGGAACCTTCAGTGCAGCAGAAGTTTCTTTGTGGCCTTCCCAGATCTGTGCCTTGCAATAGTCCTGTCTCTGATCTCTGCAGGTAGTTCCTTTGACCTGCTGGCTTTTGCTCTAATAATGCATTGTCTGCTGTGAGGCCTTTTATTACCCTAGGTTCACATCTGTGCGGGTGGTGCTGCTGCGGATCCGCACGAAAATCCGTGCAGCCGCACCACCCGCACAGAGGAATGCGGACCCGTGGGCGGGTGCCATTAGTTCTAATGGCACGCCGCCCGCACTGGAAAACGCAACCGTACTAGAAACCGAGGTTCCTGTGTGGGCTGCATTTTCCAAAGAAGTGCAGGGACTTCTTTCCCTGCGTGTCCCGGGGCACGGGAGTCCATTCAAATGAATGGGCTCTCGTGCCCGTGCAAAATGCGGCCCGCACGGCTGCATAGATGTGAACCGGAGCGTAAAGAGGTGTGTGCCTTTCCAAATCATGCAAGTGTACAATCCAAACGCACACGTTCCTGCGTTAAAAATGGCTGTGTGTATAAGTGGGTGCTGCAGCGACCGTCGGCTGGACCCGAACAAAATCAGCGAGGAAAAATGTCACCAGTACACCGAGGATCACTAATACGGGTCCAAAGGTTTTAATAAATGATCACATAGTTACAGCAAGGCAACGTTTCGGAGTCTCACAGGTCCCCTTCATCAGGCCAATTACGGTGTAGAAATATCTCAGCAATGATCAAGAGAAAAGGGAGGCAGGCACCTGAGCTAAATTTCAAGTATTGTTGCAAAGGGTCTGAATACTTAAGCCAATGTGATATTTCAGTTTTTCATACATTTGCAAACATTTCTAAACTTCTGTTTTCACTTTATCATTATGGGGTACTGAGTGAAGGTTAAAATGAGGGAAAAATGAATTTAAACAAATGTAGTAACAAGCTATGTGTATATATATATATTTCTTATACCTAAGGGGGCTTCAGGGGGTCTTTCACCCACAGCTGGAGCTCCAAACTGCAAGATATTGCTGCAGGACACAAAGGACCACTTTAAAAACATCTCCCTGAAGAATGATTTTTCCACCTTAGCTCTCCGGCTCCTGAACAAGCGTTCAGCATCTGATGACGTCACCACCAGTGGAGGAAAGAGGCCAGTCTGTTCTCCAGTGAAATATTTCACACTTTTCTTCCACTGCAGTTTTAGTACATATTCAGAAGTCGATGATTCTTGGAAGTGAAGGACACGGCTTGGAAAAGAACATTGCAAATAGTACCAGATAGAGTAAGGGGGGGGGGGGAACAGAAAACGAACACAAAGTTGAACTCTCCAACAAGATTTAAAGAGAGTCATTACAAGCACACTGGTATTTATGTGAGGCTGGGGGAGTGCGCATTCTTCCACTCCCATCCAGCATTAACTGACAGAACAACCTCAGACCCATCTCCCTGCTGCCACTCACTTCCAAGCTCCTTGAGCGCTTAGTCTACGATCGCCTGAGCGCCCACCTAACTGACAACAACCTCCTTGACCCACTACAGTCCGGCTTCCGTCCCCAACACTCCACCGAAACCGCCCTCCTCAAAATCACTAACGACCTACTAACCGCCAAAGCCAAAGGCGACTACTCTGTCCTCCTTCTCTTGGACCTCTCCGCGGCCTTCGACACAGTTGACCACCCCCTCCTCCTTAATAAAACTACTCTCCCTTGGTATCAGAGACACCGCTCTCTCCTGGTTCTCCTCCTATCTATCCCAACACTCCTTCAGCGTTTCCCACAACGGTGCCACCTCCCCTCCCCCCCTCTCTGTTGGGGTCCCCCAAGGCTCTGTTCTCAGACCCCTTCTCTTCTCCATCTACACCTCCTCCCTTGGCAAACTCATACGCTCCCACAGCTTCAACTACCACCTCTACGCTGATGACACTCAAATTTACCTCTCCACCCCCCACCTCACCCCCAAAGTTTCCGCCCGCATCACTCACCTCCTAAACGACATCTCTGACTGGATGTCGCTCCATTTCCTCAAGCTTAACCTCTTCAAAACCGAGCTTC